TCTTTCTCCTGTAGGCAAGTACAAGGTCATTTTGCTTCAAATTTCTTTTGTTTAGAGACAATTCCACTGAACATTTAACAAAATACAAGCCAGACTCAGAGAATTTCAAAGGCCTTGTTCTCTGCAAGTATCTGCATGACCATATTTAATTCAACAGGAGGAAATCCATACACACAGATTATATTTACACATACCTTGTCAAGTGTAGCTCTTCCTCTCCCCTTAGCACTTGGATGCATGGTACTGTTTGTGAAGGTCCTTAGTTCTGCCCTCCTTCTTGATCTAGTGGGAAAAAATCCTTCTTCTTCAAGAATTACCACAGTCACAGAAATGCAAATTCTCTTCCAAGAAAATGTCTATGTTGCTATTCTCAATCTAATGGAAGCAAAAGCACCTGACATACTGCTGGATCCATGCAGTGAGATGAGGCTTGGATGAGAGCAGATGAGAATTCCCAGAGCAGGGAACAAGGTTGGAAACTACTTCCAAGTTAAAAGAAAGAAAAAACACCAAATTCGGCTCAGAATTCCATTACACAATCATCATAGGAACTGATGGCATCAGAAAACAGGGAGCACTGATGGCTAATACTGGTATCAAACCTCTAGAGTCATGAAGGTAAAAGACAGAAAGGACATGGGGTTTGCAGACTGTCAGGACTTCAGCTGTGTTCATGAAACACACCCCCAGTGCTGACCTTGGGAAGTCTCTAGCAATCAAGAGTGGGCAAGCCTGGTGTGCTCAATGTCAGCGTGATGTGAGCACATAAGGAACATGAGATCCTTTCAGGTGGTTTGTCATTCCCTATGCAAATCATTCTCACCTATTTTACAGCTACACAAGGGTTCCACACTAGGGAATCTTTTTGAAATTGTGTTTCCCTCACCCACCCCGAATTTACAACACCTTTGATAGTTACTGTCCTTCCAATTTTTTGAAGTATTTTTCAAAATCCTTTCCTTTATCTGAAAATACTAAGGATTGCCAGATACATCATTGCATCTGATCTCTGCTTATGCAAGACCCAGCAATAAGGGGGAAAGTAGGTATATTGTGTTTCTTTGGTCCTATTATGAGCTGCCAGCAGTGCAGAAGCAGAACTGGCCACTACAGGTCCCTGAGAGGTTGTGGCAGGCAAGCTATGAGACCCCTTATGGTGTGAAAACCCACTTATGTCTATAGTATCTAGAGGTATTGTGACATTAGACTCACACCTGCTTCCTGGCTAGGCATGGCCAGAAGAGTGGACATGAGCTGAATTGACTCTGGGATCTAACACAAAACTCCGCTCATTGTTCCAAAACGTTTAACAAAACAGGGAAAATTCATCCATCTTGTCTGAAGTAAGTGGAGTGAAACGAGGAACTAAGGCTGCTAAGCAAAACCATAGATTTCAAATAATGTGTGTTATTCCATGATATGGTCTCTGCTTAGCACTGTTCAGAGGTAGTGCACAAATGCAGCATTACTAAGAAAATGTAAACAAGACAGTTTGAACATTGCTTAGCAGAGTCAGTCATTTTCTGAAAAAGAAACCCCAGTGTATAGGTGCCACTTAACTGGCATGTTCAGTTACTGAGGCTGAACTACGCACACTGGGACGGAGTTTCTTGATGGTATTTTTTTAATTGTCTTCTGACATCCAGATCTAATCTCTAATTAGATCTATCTTTGGCCTTAAGGTTTTTGCAACTAACCAAGTTAAGTGCTTTTACTGATATCTGCAGCTCTGCAGAGAATTACGGTCTGCAACAGTTTTCCATTCCTCTCTCCATGCAGTATTTCTGAAAAATGGCTTTGATTTTGACTTTTGAATGCAGTGTTCACAGAATGCTGTTCAGCAGCCACTTCAGTACAGAATATATAAGATGATAGAATGAAATGAGGTTTAGCTTCTTACTGAAGGCAAACCTGAAGTTAATCCCCAACTGGTAGAAAAATGAGCAGAAATCAGAAACGTTTCACAACTGAGAACTGAAATGACATATCCCAAAACATTAATCTTTAATTGACATATTGTTAATTCTAGGGTTTTTTTTTAAAGGAATTCTCTTGGGAATGCCACCGATAGTGTTAAATGATACTTATTTGTGTAACAACTGGTTTAGCCCTTTATTTATTTATTTATTTATTTATTCATATTTTACCTGAAAATGTATTTTCTTAGAGACGTTATAACCGCATTTCTGCATTATCAGTTCATTTTGTTCTCCTCTTTCCTGGATATATTGGCCAGGAAAAGGAACTTCCAGTCATCTATAATGGACAGTTTAATTCACATTTTTTACTTTGTCCACATTAAAAAATGCAATTTCTGGATCATTGAGGCATATGGATTATGAACAATACACTCCAAAATCTAGCTATCCAGACGGGGATATACTTACAAAAATTTTTTATGTCAAAGTCAGGATTTCACAACATAACACACTAATGCAAAATCCAGTAGCACCTGAAAGATTAAGGTAGCTGCTGCTATCACTTGCACATACTTGAAAAAGATTTAAGGAAAAAAAAAAAAAAGAGTCATACATTCTCCAGAGAATAGCAAGTGTATTTAAAAATAAAAAACTGTGGGTTCAATTTCTTTTCTCTCTCTTTTTTTTTTTTTTTTTTTTTTTTGTTTTTTCTGTGAGGCTTATGGTAATTCTTGTGTTGGCTTTTTTTTTTTTTTTCCCCAAGACTGTAGTTGCCATGTAAATTTATACATAAAGTAACTGCTCTCCCCTCCAGTGCAAGTTCATGGTCATGTTTTCAGGCTATAGTACTGAACACCGTTTTCTTGTACACATATTCCCATCGTTTCATTAAAGATAGATACAATGTACAGTACTTGTCTCTGGGACAGTAATGTTTCAAATGGCAAAACCTTCACCTTAAAACATAAGTGAAGAGGCTACAGTAGGTATAGCCACCTAAGTATGAACTTTAGATCACAATTTCTAAACACTTGCCTACTGTACATAAGCATTAAAAATAGTCTTAGACATAGGATTTTATTTATATGTGCACGTATGTCCACCTCATCCCATATTTATGTTTGGCAACTATTTGGGAATTCAAAGGTGCAGCCCTCAGTAATTGTATTATTTAAAAAAAAAGAAATGAAGCTTATCTACTCTATGAGAAAAAGAAATTCTCAAATATCAATTTCCAATTTTAAATTTAATTTCAATAGGAAAATATTAAAAATGTGCACATCTAAATTTTTCCATGTTCTGTATATACATATGTGTGTGTACGTATACATAGAAATGCTCATGTACCACACATATTCACAAAATTTAAGTGGAAATATTTCTGTCCACTATTTTCCCCACACATATGACATCATATCTTTAAAAATGTCAATAATAATATCATTAAAAATAATATTACATTTATTCCATCATTATGTTTTTTTATTCTTTCTTCATCCTTATTATGTCCACTGAGCATTAACAGGCCAAATTCTCCTTACACTTCCACGGATGTTATGCCAACGGAATGTTGCTGACATCACATCAAGGACACATCTGGTTTACAGCAGCACAAGTGACAGGAGAATCAGGCCCAAATATCCCCAGGAAAATTAAAAACTGGCTGTATCTGCTCATATGGACCTGATGAAGATATACACACTACTGTCTAAAATCCCCTGAATGATTAACATGTAGCTCACCACAAAGTTTTCAACCAGTAGCACAATGAAACAAGCTCCCCCCACCCCTTTAATAAATGTGAGAAAATACCCTAAAAAATATGGAGAAAGCGTAAACATTGTGTATATTACATACCATATAATACAAGACAGTTTTAGCATTTAACCTAAGCCACTTCCCTGACTAGTCAGGGGAGACCTGATAAATCACCAGTTAATGGAAAAGAAAAAGGTATCCTAGAAATAAAGCATGTCTTTCCAATATAAATGACAACCTGCGTGTATTATATGGTACATACACACAGTACATACATGAAAACAAACTTATCTTTTCTAGCTTTGAATATCAGTCTCTAAGTGAAGAAAACCGTGTTCTACAAATTGAATAAGCAGCTAGATTTCATGTTTAACATTCAAATTAATTTGGGGAGCAAATAAAGGTTCGTGCATCTTTCAACTCTGAGGTCTGACATTCATTCATACATTTTAAAAAAGCCCTCTTCTGCATTACAAGCAATTTATGGCAAGAATGCACTGTGATGCAAGACACATGACAATTGCCTTACCTTTCAAAGAGTAGGGTTTTTAAAATAAATCTATTCTATAAAGAAATATGTTTGCCAAAAGTCTGTTAAAATTACATCAAAACAACTTTAAAACCTGCTCACTGAGGATAATTAAATTCAATGTCCTGTTTTTAAATATTTAGTTAACAGTTCAGAATATTGCCTGGTGTAGTTTGGATAAAGATGTGATATGAAGACCCATAAAAGAGTAAACATGTCTTCAGTTCAATTTGCTATGACAACAAAACTTCAAGAAAAAACTTCTAGCCTTTTTGGCTAGACAGGCTCAGTGTATGAGCAATCCCTTGCGGTACCTCTGTGCTCCTAATGAGTCTGTAACAGAACAGCGCTCCCCATAAGCCATTATTCACAGAACCTCTGTTTCATGTCACATTCTGAAAAAGTCTCTTGCAGAACAGATTAACAGCAAATTGAACACTCAATATAAGTATCAAGGGCAGAAAACAAAAACCTGGCCATTCCTTGTTATGTGTGCAGGTCAAATTTAAAATGTTAAGTTTACATTTAAAATTCTCAGGGGATTTGGGCTTTTTATTTTTCCTGCGGGACTCACCTTCTATCACTGGTTGGCTCAAAATTTATTTAAGTGGAAGATACTATCTCACTGTAATTACATGGAATTCATACGAAAAACTAAACCTTACATTGGACAATATTGTAGAACACCAAAGTAAGCTCCATAAAGAAATACGGTATCTTCCAGTATATATGTATAGCTATAAAAAAACCAAAAAAAGCCAACCAGCCAACTAACCCCAAAAAAACAAAAAGGAAGAAGTTTATACAAGCAATTATAATAAATTTGTTTCAATTAAAGATGCAACTCTCTCTCATTCCTGGCAAGAATAAATTTGTTCCGGCACTGCTTCTCCACAGTGCAACATATCCTGAGAAATTATTAAGAACAAAATACAGGGCTGTCATCACTAAGTTCGTGCACAAAACACAGCATTTAAATATTTTAAATAAAACAGCCAATATTTTAAATAAAACAGACAGATACCTATATTGTATCTGTCACAAAATGGGGTGTGTCCTGGGACACTGCTAATTCTTCCATCACTGATAATTAGAAAAGGATTGCATTCAATTATTGTTAATATTTTTCAAGTTATCTGTAGCCAATAATGTAAAAGGAGGTAATTTGTAATTCAAGTTTTTTGTTAGTTATTTTTTTCTTAAACTAGCTACAAGCTAAGTTCTAAATTTTACACTGAATTACAAGTCAAATTTAAAACAATCCCCCTCAGAGGAGCATTTTCTAATTTTGTGCAACTTTGATGCAGAGCCCAACACAGTCCTATGAAGAGAGACAGTGCATCTTTAAGCTGATTGGCACTGAAATCCCATTTCTTTAACTGCACTCTATTAGCTTGGCCAAGTTATCTCGTAATTCTGTTAGTTCAAATATTTTTCCATCAAGAATTTCTAAAAGTGTCTTCAAGTTATTGCGAAAAGCTTCTTGCTCATTCTGACTTTTCTCCAGACGTTGCTCTAGATCAGACAGCTGTCCTTCCAGGTCTTTGTTTCGAATTTCTACTTCCTTCAGAGAAAATACACAACATGTTAATGTGTTGTCTGCAAACAGAAAGCCACCTAATGTCCTCTTGGTACTCATGTGCTATTTGTGTCAAGTGCTTTTTAAAATGACTTGTAACCCTTTACAGTTTTCAGTAAGTCAAACCAGAACCTGAATTGTTACTACAATTGCATATGTATTGCTACTTCCTCCATTTTTTCCATAATTATCTGAAGGACTGAACTTTTGGAGAGGAACAAACTTTAGTCAGTGAACAACTGATACACTTATTCAGGTGTGCTATCACTTCTATCATTTAGAAATGTACTGCCTAACGAAAACACCTTCTCAGAGTTTACTTACATTCAAGTATGCCCTGATTTAGACTACATGATTTGCTCAAGGACACGGTTCTCCATCAAAAGTTCTCATGCAAATACTCATCCAGAACACTGCTTTAGAGACAGAGGAGCACCACCTTATTCCCATCCCATATACGGGATTTGCACTCTGAAAATTAAGACAGGAACATAACCGGGCCCAAGTGGATGTCAAGGTGGCTGTAACAGAAGTAAACCAGGAGGTGCAAGCTGCACGTGGTGCCTCGCTGCACAGCACCCGCCTGCGGAGCAGGGACAGTGGCAGAGCCACCACTGCTGTACGGACGTGCCGCTCCCACGCAGCGGGGGCAAGATGAACAGCGGCGTGTCGGACACAGCTCAGGGGGTGGGACCCTGGGCAAGATCAGTTCTCACTCACCAGGAGAAGCCCTTGGCATCTGCCCTGGGACTCCTCGCAGCTCCAGCTTGCACCTGATGGGCGACAGTGCCCACAGACAGTGCAAGACAGGTGCCCTCTCTTCAATCAAATCACAGGTGATTCAATCACCTGGGTCTGGAATAGCATATTGTCCTTTGTTCCATTCATTGCACACCTAATAAATGAAATGCTAAGGTTTGTAATTTCAGTTACAAAAATAATTTTCAAAGGCAGCACAGAGGCATTGTGTTTAGTACACTATACACCCTGTACAGCCATCTCTGGAAAAGTGCATAATTAATTCATATTATGTATGGTAACATGTTTTTCAACACTTCCTCCCTTTACAGTGGTTTTGTGTCACAAAGCTTTAACAGACCTGCTCTGAGATTTTACTACAACTAGTTTTACAAATAGGAAGGGAGATCTGGCAGCAGTCAATGACCGCAGCATGAACAACTCCTCCTTCAGCCCTCCAACTCTCTCACTGGTTTTGGTGTGATTCTTCTGTCTCCCTCAAGGCTAAGAAATATATTCATGTTTATACTGGAGATATCTCAGCTAACCATAGAAAACAACTTGACCTATACAGAAAATATACTGGGTCATTCAAGAGTAACAGGTATGTAATGGCAGCCCTGTGTCAAAGCCTGAGAAAGGTATCCACTTGTGAGGGGTCTGATGGGCAGCATCAATTGGGTGCTGCATCCCTGGCCACAGGATGGACAGGGTGACATGGCCAGTGCTCAGTTTCAGCTCCCAGCCTCTGCAGCAGCGCAGAGTTCTGGGCCCCCCAGCAGTGCTGCAGGACATTCACTGCCTCATAGCTGTGGCTGCTTGTGGAGCCAAGGGTTACCTCCCAGCTAAACTGAAGGCCTCCCTTACTTCTTGTCTGCAAATGAGCAAGTAAAAAACTATGGAGTTTTCAGCACCAGTCTTGAACAGCCAGCACACCTGAGAGCAGGAATGACCCCCTACTGCCAGGGTCAAGAGAAGAATTAATTTGTTTAGCACTGAATAATTTAGTTGCCAAAGTGCCAAAATAAGCTAACTGGATAGCACACTTGTAGAAATTATACAAATAAAATGCATACATGCTTATATAGTGAATAACTACCTCACTGCTGCTACAAATGAAGACAACTGGTTATAACCAGTCATACTTGTAAAGGCTCTTCTTCATTGAGTGTACTCCTGCCTTCCAAGCCAAACACTTACAGGTACTACCTGGTGTAGTGATTACACAGGTTCAAGACACTCTGAGGGCCAAGTGATTACAGTATAGGACATAAAAGTGAAATCCAAGGTCCTCTCAGCTTTGCCAGAGTGACACAGTCCTTTCTTTAGCTCACAGAAAACTGATTGCTGTTTTTCAGTATTTGCCCACCCTGTCATTGCTTCTCTCCTAGTCACCAAATGTGTGTGCTCCAGGAAGTTTTCTTGCCACTGCTCTTACCTCAAAAATAATTAATTCCTGCAAGCAAGGAAGCCATTGGTGAAATAGACCACTTTGGGACAAATCTATAGAAAGTTATATGGCTTTACATTGTGATATCAGGGCTTGACTAGAGAATTCTGTTGGCCTGTATCTAGCACTGAAGAACACCTTTCAGGCCCTCCTCACACATTTTTAATGAAATATGCCAGAAGATGCTGCTTTTAATTTCTGGAAAATGCTACTTCTTAAATTTACATTTGACCCTTATGCATATTTACCCTAAATTAGCATTAATGAATTCTGCAATGCTATTGCATTGTAAGTTCATGTCCAGCTCATGTGCTGTTTCCTGTTTCAAATCAGTAAACCTCAAAACTTGTTTCTTGATTGGAAGAGGTGGATTACATGTAATGTAATCTCCTCCCCTAACTGTGCCATTTCCCTTTACTGGCAGCTGACCTCATCCAACAATAAACTGACTCTTTGGTACATTCAGGCCCTTTTCAGAAGGCATTTTGCACGTTGATTTTTTACTTTTGGTTTTTTTAAGCTCTTCTTTCATCAGATGTAATAATTTCTCATATTGTTTTCTCTTACAGAAAAAATAAATTATTACTAGTTATGTTTGTTGTTTGTACTGTAACAATCTTTTGCAGAATTCAGTGCAAGGATTGGAATAAAATATTCAAACCATACACAACAGCTATATTTAGAAATCAGCCATATTAATAAAGATATTCTGACCTACTGTGAGAGTCACACTGATCATGACTCACTGATATGACTTCTCTACATTACTAATGGAATTAGGACCCTGATACTTAAACTTCATGACAACATATTGTTCTTCACTAGAGTTTTCCAATGGTTGATATGTAAACAACTCCTGATACGCATGTGTCATAAATGCACTACACCTTGAAATACTTATTTCTTTGTATAGCATTTTTCATAGAGGATTTTAACCAAAATATTTTAAAGTTACATAATCCACCTGCAAAGCACAAGAGGGAAAAATAAACCACAAGAACAAAGAGTGAGAGAAACAGATACAAACCCTGAAGAGAATCACTCTGAAAATAAATGATGAGTCAGGTAAGTGAACATATATGAGACAGTGTGAAGCTACAGCATACGATGTGACAGATGTAGGGTGAAGTGCATCAGAGAACACCAGTATAACCAAAGCAGGACAATTACAGCAAAGTAGGGACTCAAGATGTTTTTCCTGGGCAGGATCAGGGCAGTAATTAATTTTAAGCTTAATAAAGGTACATTTAAACTCAGATCCTAAGTGATCCTTTAAATTTAATTGAATAAAACCATATAGACCCATTTCAGAAACAGATCACTTACAATGTGACACATGGACATATATACAAAATGTATCCATTTGGTGATTAAACAATCACAGAATCATGAAATGGATGAGGTTAGAAGGGCCCTTAAGGGGCCCTTAAGGGTTTCAACCCTTTGTCATGGGCTGGAACCCTCTCCTCTAGGTAAGGTTGCTCAAAGCACCATCCAACCTAGCCTTGGACATTTCCATAACTTTTTTGGGTAACATGAAGCAGTGCCTCACCACCGTCACCATGTAGCATTTCATCCTAGTATCCAATCTGAACCTACATTCTTTCAGTTTGAAAGAACTACTCCTTGTCCTATCACTGCAGTTCCTGATGAAGAGTCCCTCCCTGGCTCCTCTGTAGGCCACTTTCAGATACTGTAAGGTTGCTATGAGGTCTCCATGCAACCTTCTGTTCTCCAGGCTGAATAGCCCAAGTTTTCTCAGCCTCTCTTCATAGGGAAGGTGCTGCAGTCCTCTTATCATCTTCATGGCCTCCTCTGTCCTTCCTGTGCCGGGCCCCAGAGCTGCTGCAGCCCTGCAGGTGGGGTCTCAGCAGAGCAGAGCAGAGGGGCAGAATCCCCTCCCTGGCCCTGCTGCCCACACTGCTCTGGATGCAGCCCAGGACACGTGTGGCTCTCTGGGTTGGGAACACACACTGCTGGTTAGTGTTGAATTTTTTATCTACCATCACCCCCAAGTCCTTCTCTGCAGGGCTGCCCTCAATCACTTATACATAAATATACCAAAATGGAACTACTGACTTTATAAGGTAAAATTTTAATAAAAATAATCCATTTTCTAATCTTTCATTTCTTAGTAGTCTCATCATTCTGCTTGCTAAGGATAATTCTGGCTCACTGCTACTTTTCATATGATCATACAATGAAATTACTGCATTTGCTATTGCTGGAACAATTTCCAACTCTCATTACAATGCCTCTTTTTAGTCTCTCACCTAAATGCCTTTTCAGATGAAAACTTGTGTATTTAGCCTAAAGCCAGTAACAATTTTTGGAACAGGCAAGATCAGGTGTACTGAAAACACTCTTTAAACACTGTTCAAAGTAATAACATACTTTGTACAAACAAGTTGACGTAAGAAGGGGGAAAATGAATAAACTCATTTTGATCTTTAGTGTCTTATTCTGTAGGTTAAAATTTGATTCATAGAGGTTCCAATTCATGTCACACATTTCAAAGAATACCTGCCTAATGATTTTTAAGCTATGGCTGTGATCTGATGGGGCTTGCTTTCAGCATGCTAAGCCACAGAACGAAGAGAATCCCCTTTCAGCTCTTTAGGGTTGGAGCTATTTAATCCCTGAGTTTCCAGTTCTTTCAAAACTCTGAAGGCTGAACCCAGAGTGTAATCCACACAAGTTTTTGGTCATTCCAGAGGCAGGTGTGACAAGGAACGTGACTATGTGCTGGCTGGTCAGTGCAGCAACAGACAGGAAAGAGCTCAGATGGAGCATGGGAGGATATAATGAGAGAACATAATTCCAGCAGCCTCAGGTATCTGGCATTACACACAGTAAGAAAAAACTTCTAAAAAACCAATAAAAGCACAATGTTTCTAAATAATTCCAAGAAAATGTAGAAAGTGTGGTTTTAAAGCCTGTACTACACAAGAGCACTTCAACCCTTGCTTTCTCAGGGCATGTTTAAAGGCTGAACACAAACTCATCCCAGGTTGATGATCCACCAACAGATCGTTTCAGTGGCATGCAGAAACTATGGGAAGCCACTGCTGTGAAAATGAGACCAGAACTATCCATGCATCAGGGAAGGATGTTTGCTAACGTGAGAGTACTCTGTAGATTCATAAAAGTAACGTGGATGTGTTTCCTCAGATAAAAATAGTTATTTAGAGCAGGTAGAAATTTTGATACAAATTCCTAAGGGTCATCCCAACCCAGCACTTTCAGGGCAGTCTAACTTACATATTCATCTGGCACATTCAGTGAATATAGCACAAGTTGCACATGCAAACTGCTCACTTGCTGATCATTTTACCTTTTTCTGTTAATTAAGATGATGCACTACAGCTCACCTGTAACTTCTGGGTCAGAGAATCCCTCTGTGCCTGGAGCTCTCTGGCATTTTCAATTTCTTGTTTCAATCCTTCTATTTCCTAAGGGAGAAGAAACAACCTTGCTAGCAGTGTGTTACCTGGCTTGGCCTTGGTGCTGGTAATCTGGCTCCTGCTTCTTCTTCTGAGAAAGTCATCACAACAATACCAACACTGGCAGTTGGCTACTGCCCATCAAAGAACATGAAGTGTAAGCCCTGCTCCCAATACTTCTGAATCACAGTCCCAAAACAGCAACTCCATTGTGAATGAACAACAGACTTTGTAAAAGTTCAAGTTTTCTTTTCCCCTCGAAGAGACATGAAAAAATTTTTGCCCAAAAAATTAAGAAAACAAATTTTAAAATTAATTAATTAATTTTTAAAATGTAATTAAACCCCCAATTTATACTTTAAATTCTATTAGAATCTACTCTTCTCCATTTTTTTAAGGAAAAAAAAATCAAATTTTCAAATGTAAACTGCCTGTTATTTCACCAGCAGCAGGGCTGAACATCAAAAACTGCCTGTTTTGATTGACTTCTGTAAAAAGAGAATTTAAAAGAAATGGCATATTTAATTTAGCAATTAGAAAATAATGAGGTATAAAATAAGAAATATAGATGAAATAATGAACAGAAGAGAAAACTGTTCTTAGCTCACTTCCAGAGAATAGAATAGAAACAGTGAACAAAACTAAAAGGTATCAAACTTAAAACTATTAAGTACTCTTGTCCAGGTGGGCATATTCACCTCCCAAAACTCCTTTTGGCAAGATTGCTTTGCAGCCAACAACTCAGCATAATTCAAAGGCAAATGGGCAACAAAACGGGAAACATTACCAAGCTGACCCTAATCTATTTAAGTAGGAGGGAGTTTGGAAAAGGTTTCATTCCATTTTGAGAGGATATTCTGTAGTGATTGTGCCTTTCCTGCATCCTCCTTGGAAATACCTCACAGCACTGAGGGAAGGCTTGGCAAGACACACTGCCCCTCCAAGCACACATGCCAGTGCCCACAGTCTCTTACATGTGTCAAATAATTCTTTCTGTGCAGCTGCTTCCATCTCCTTTTTCCATCCATATAAAGGGGTGATTCTTGATCCTTCTGTGGCACAGATATGCTTTCCTCTAGGACATATGCCAATGCAGGTGTTACTCCAATTCCTTTTGTTTACTTTCTGCTGGTCCATGCCAAGGCACATGCCACAGTAAATACCAAGTTTCAGGCTGGGGGTTTGGCATGTGTTTAAGGAAATTGATCTTACGGACCATAAAGGTCAGCTCTATTAACAGAGCCTGGGTGGACAAAGGCATTGATCTATCACTTGTTTAAAACCCTGTTCTCCAGAAAAACAGAAAGCATGCCTACAACAGCTTCCTTTCTCAGGTATTCTGGACTGCATCAGTGTGATGATTGCCCTGTGGAAACCACTTATGACTTACTTTTGCAAACAGCAATGTTTGGTAAAAGCAAACAGGAAAACATGATACTTTTTTTTTTCTGCTATCCAGATACCCAGGTCTGTATTGGGCTGATGTAATTATATAAATTAAAAATACTAACAATTTCAAAGAAGTGGAAAAAGAATTTACTTTGTAACACTTATACTAAATAATTCAGTATCTGGCAGCCATCACAAGCTTAATATTGAACGGTTTTAGAAATGATGTAATAGAAAAGCCAAAAATAAATGTTAGCCGATACCTCTTCTTTTTTCTTCAGTGTAGACTCTAATTCCTGTATTGTCTGGTTTAATTCTGTTTTATGAGTGTGGACTGCATTGGCTTGACTGCTCACACACTCCAGCTCAGTCACCTGTTGAAATAAGTAGAAGAAACACATACAGAATTAATTGCAATATATTCAAGGTACTATTACTTCTTTGCATCAATAGCTGCCTTTGAAATACACCCTAACTTCTGGATGACTTCTGTTGATTAAAATGGTGAAGGTGCTCTTACAAAGTTAGCACAATAATCCATTATATATTGTTATGTAAGTCGTTGTTATGAATTCCTGGAAACAAAAAAAAAATTCATTTGTTATAGGCTGAAAAGAGCACTAATTAAAACTTATACTAATTATTGAAAGTTTTACGAAAGTTCTGAATTACCATTTCAAACACAGTAATGCCTTGATGACTAAACACAGATCTGTCTAACTAACCTCTCCATCTGACACTTCTTAATGTTCTACCACCTTACTAAGCCACAATGTTCACAAACTTCCTAGAAAGCCAATTAACATTTCACAGCATCACTCAGCATCAACAGTGTAATACCAGACACTGAGCCACCAAAGTGCAGCTGCCAGCTTCTAACTTTCCCTAGTAATGGAACTCATCTCTCAGTCACAAAGACAACAGCTAATGTCACAATTTGGATTTGATCAGTTCCCCTTTTATTAGCAGACAGCAAGCATGCTCCATCTGCCCTTGATTAAGTTAAGATACCTGGCAGTGGTATGGAGTTTTGTTTTATTTTATAATCAAAAGGATGCTAATATTCTGCCACTCACAGATAAACAGTTTCAAAAAAAAAAAAAAAAAAGCTTCTGCATGAAAGAAACAAAATCCATGCAGCTAGAGTTTACACAGAAAAGTCTCTGTTCAGGCACCTCTCACATTACAGGTCAGAATATTAGAAAACTTTCACACCACATGTCTGCCTGGATGTGTGCACTAAAACATATTTGTTTAATAACTAAAACCTAATAATGAATTTCTCTCCAGAAGTTATGAGTCAATCCTAATATATAGTTTTCAACAGACCTGCACCACATACCTACAAATCTGGCCTTTGAACAAAGTGTTAGTTAATTCTGCAACAAAACCTTTAACACTCAATTTAACATTCTTGGAGAGGTAGCCATGAGACAGAGGGCAGACATTTTCCAAGACAATTTTATTTCTTAGGTAAAATAATATCTCAGGGAATCAAGGTCGCCGCTCTTCAGCACCAATGTCCCCTAGCTAATAAAGCCACTGTGATACCAGTAATTTCAGACTGAACTATTTGTAGGCTCAAAAGGGAGATTACTAAATCAAGTCCAAGGGAAGTCAAGATGAAACACAAGGAAATTAGAACAACTCCTCCTGTCTGAATCACAGCCCACAAACCTCTCCGCTGCAGTAGACATGACGAATCCTGCTGGAAAGCTATTGGTTAGACATTTTTGCACATGAGGTTTGTAATGGAGAGAACTGGGATTGAACAAATTCCTGGCAGGGGGTAAAGGGAACAAGGGAGTAGGATATAGCTTGGTAATGCAACATGCCCTGTCCACTCCAAAGAACTTTCTTATTTGCCGGTATTGTCCCAGAAGGAATACCAGTGCTCATGACCAAAAAAAAAAAAGTTATTTTCTTCACTTTATATGCCACTGAGCATGACAACTGAAGTCTTAGATTATTTTCTCAATTACACATATCTATCCATATTTCGATTCTTATAATACTGTTATAGTTATTCACCCCTGCAATTACATGAACAAGAACTGGAACACATCGATGAGGACAAACCTATGTCTGCACAGAGTCTGACCTAGCATCTAGAGGGAACAAGAATCAGAAGGGCACAGAGCAATTTAGGCTGGAAAGGACATCTGGTCAAGGCCTCCTGGTCAAAACAGGGCAAATTTTGAGGTCACAAGTGCTTGCTCAGGGTCTTGCCCAGTCAAGAATCCTCCACTATCAAGGAGAACTGTGACAGTTCTGACACTGCAGGTTTAGGAAGAGCTCTAGCTCCTTCCTGTGTTTTGCTGGAACTGTCAAACTCATTCACCTCTTTCACCTTCAGCCCTTCTGATGTTTTAACTTCTCAAACATTTCCAAGCTTTCCTGCTGAGATGTTGAATAGTAACTTACAAGAAGACAATCTCTCTTTAAAAGCTGTTGCACTCAGCAAGACCCACTGGCCCTCAGCAAGCACCAGCACAGAATGCTCATTTACACAAAACCTCAGCTGGCAAGACAAAAGTAAGCCCAGTTCCCAAACTACCTCTGTCCTAGAACCTCATGCCTTGAAGCATACCTGCAGAGGTCTCTTGTCCTGGGACTAAGGAAGCACCTGGACTCTCACTGTTCTCCATACGGTTTCCTCTTGGCTGGTACATATAGAGAGGATGTATGTATTGCTGCAAGCTTGGAATCCAAAGGGCTGATGAATCAAAGTATTGGATGAAATGTTACTGTTCTAACTTGCATCTATCACTGCTGGTTAAACACACCTCCTGCAGCAGCCCAGCCAGGTGCACAGCTCATGTGAATACTCCCAGGTACACTCTGGTCCACATTAACTCAACACACTTACTGAAATTGCTTAAGCAAACACAGATCATTATTCTTAAGCAGAGCAGGCCGTGCTCCCACAAACCTTCTTGCCAACAGAGGCAACTGCTCTCAGAAGGACAATTAATTGCCGGCACTAAAAGGGTTGTGATGTCCTACTCTAGCCCAGCTTTTGTCTGGGCAAACATCCATCTCTTACTGATTATGCAAGAAAATAATGTTCAACTGTTTTGTTTACTGTTGATTGAAAACTCACTAAGTTGGGAATAAAAAGAACAAACTCAGTTAAAAAACTGGGTTACTTTAATCAGTCTTATTTAAATGTCCACTTTTACAGAGATCTGAAAAGATGTCAAATATTTTCATGTTTTTATCTTCTTGAATGTACCTATAAAGAAGAAAATCATATTGTGACCCTTTCAAAAAGATCTGTAGAGTAAGATGGGCTGGAAAATGATGTGATATAAAGAATATGCAATTGAAAACAGAAGTAACAAAGGATAAAGCTCTAGGCAAAAATCTGCATAGCATTTACTTGTCCTGTTTCTTGTCTCAAACTGCATTTAATTTTCTCATGACCAGTGGTCCAAAAATCATTACAAGTAACTGTTAATGCATGATGCACAGAAGGGGGCATAAAAGGAAGTTAAAGTGCTTTAGCCTGACCCTCCCACAGGCTATTATCAGGGGCACCTCCTCATTCAGTGTTTCAGGTTTAAAAGCAAAGCTTAATCAATGCTTCAAACCCTTGCACAACAAGCAATGTACCTGTGATTACACCTCATTTTAGTACAGAAAGAACAGTCTTTGAACAGTAACTGGCTAAACAATGTCCTGCTATTGTGCTGCCATAAGACTGCACTGACTTGCATATCTGAAAATGTCGATAACTCTGGCTTTGTATTTGAGACTAAAAAAGAAAAAAGTTACTGCTCTTAGCCTCTGTTTCTTTATTTTGCATTTATCATCCAGGTAAGGATTGCATGTAAGGAAAATATTCTGAAAAGGCTTTTTAGTGACTATTTAGTGTGCGAACCCTTCTAGCATGTGGATGGCATTATACTCAACTGCCTACTTCAGGGTGAAATACATCAGCTGAAGTGGGACGGCAAGGCAACTTCTGGTAGACCCTACACCCTCCTAGCAGTGGCCACTGTAGAGTTTTCTGGACATTTTAGTCTAGGTTCAACAACCAATAAATGCAGGAGGATTCCAGGAAGAGGTTTTCATTGCAGCAGAGGGCAAGCACACTGGGCTGCTGGGAAGACTGGAGGAGTGAGGCTTCAGGCACACAACACAACAAGGAGTAACAGCCTTGGTGTGAGCTTAAGACAGTGACTGCCCAAAGCTTTGCAAAACTCAAAAGACTCTCAAGAAAATCCTGACCACAGAAAATTACTTTGCAAGTGAAGACTTCAGGTAGACAGAACAAAAGAAGTGAATGGCACAAAAATATTGTGAGTGGTGACCTGCCCCAAGCAATTATTGACTAAATGATTCTGTGCTGTGTTTGCTCCAGCTGGATTAATTTTTTCAAACCACTTTCTTGAGATGAATTGTACAATTCAGTACCAACAGATCATGCAATTCCTTCTTACCTACATACAGGAAGTATTCCAACTTCTACAGAAAGGCAAAACAAGACAGATTAGAACACAGAAACCATATAGAACACAGAATTTGTCACACAAGTATAGAGTAATTCAGGTTGAAGAAGACCCTTGAGATCATTGAGTCCAACAGTTAACCCAGCCCTGCCAACTCCACTACTAAGCCACATCTCCAAGTACCACTTCTGCATGTCTCTCAAATACCTCCAAGGATAACAACTACACCACTTCTCTGGACAGCCTGCTCCAATGCTTGACAGCCCCTTCTGTGAAGAATTTTTTCCTGCTAACTAACTAAACTGGCACAACTCAAGGCCATTTCCTCTGGTCCTCTTGCTTGTTACTCAGGCGAAGAGACCAACCCCCCCTACACCCTCCTTTCAGGCAGTTGTAGGGACTGATTAAGTCCCATCAGAGTCTCCTTTTCTCCAAGCTAAACCCCCAGCTCCCCCAGTTGCTCCTCACCAGCTCTTCTGCCCTTCTCTGGACCCATTCCAGCATCAAAATGAGCTTCCTGACCTGAGGGGCCCAGAGCTGAACACAGGATTCCAGATGTGGCCTCACCAGGGATATTAAGCAGGACTGCTGAGCTCTGGGGAGCAGCACTGGTGACTGAACACCAGCTGGATGTAACTCTGCTCACCACCACTCTCTGGGCCCAGCCATCCAGGCAGTTTTTTTCCCATATTAGCATCATATATTCAGTGTGGCTGTAGCCTGTTTTCTCTACCTGACACAACTAACTTGTTTCTATAATGTATTCTTCTCCCTTTTATGTACTGTAGATGCAATATGCAGGATTTACTAGCTCAAGCTACAGTGCAGAACACATAAGAGTGCTCTGAAGTCACACAGAGTGCTAATGCTAGACTGAATTGAAGTATTAATTATGTATTTTTAACTGATTAAGTTACATC